CTGATGAAGCCAAAAACCTCCATTTAGCAGCTGCAGCATCAGATTTAATTCTGCATCCTGCTGCATTGGTGGGTAACATGGAATTTAGCCTCACTGAGTTTTCAAGAGCATAAATGAGGTTTGATGACTTAGTCCACATAGGTAGTTTCAGATACAGACTAGTGTATTTCTTCAAAACATACACTGTAGTAGACGGGTATTTTCTAAGAAATAACCAGCTTATATTAAAATCACACAGAGAAAATGTAAAAAATAATGTATATACTTGAAAGAAACTTATTATACTGTATAGTTTCTTTGCTCTAAAAAAAAATTATTCAAATATCTAATTTGTTTTTATTTTTTTTAATTGCAACTCTTCTAATAGAAAGTGTTTTATACAGGTAATTTGTACTCGGTCTGAAGAGTACAACAGCCAACAGGCTTTATGCAATGCCACAAGCGAGGGGCCTATAAGGCGAAATCCTGGAAACAACGATAAATCAAGGACCCCAAGGCTCCCATCCTCAGCTGATGTTGAATTTTGCCTGTCACTGACTCAGTATGAATCTGGACCCATGGATAAAATGGCCAATTACAGTTTCCGAAACACTTTGGAAGGTAACATTTTATTCTATTACACCATTTCCATCTGTAAATTGATTCTCTCTGGGACTAGAGTCTTTAAACTCTGGGTAGAACATGAAGAAAAACTCAAAAAGAATGAAAAAGTTATGCTTTCACCTGGAATAGCAACAGAAAGAACAACATGAAAGGTATTTGATAAAAAACTAGAAATTATAGAATAGATCTGACCCTAAATCCATCTGTTAGGAGATACTGTCTCCTGCTACAGTCAGCATCAGGCATAGCAAAAAAAATACACCACTGCAGAAAAGGAGGTCATTTAATAATCTGCTTGTGCATAACCATGCATAACCATGGCCATGTCAAAGATTTGCCCTGGAATTCACTGTCTTCCAGGGACCAGACTGGACAGTAAGGGTGAAAGAGGATGCACAGTTGGTATGTTATATTTACTTCCTTCCACTATGAACTCCATAGCAGACTTCTCCCCAAATTCTAAGGAACAGGGATTGTTATAAGTTAGCCCTCAAAACTGACCTTTAGTATAATTTCCAAAAGAATTAATTATTTATCTTAATTGCATAACTATGCAACCGGTTTTGAATTTTCCTAATTTGCTAGTAAACAGTCCTTTACTGAAAGAAATTCTCAATTATCTGTCTACTAAACTCTTTTGAATCCTGCAAAATTTCTAATAAGCAAGGATAACACATACATTTATAAATAAATATTTCTACAGTACTATGTATCAGCTGAATCAAATGTGATCTACTTTTGATGAGAGCTTTTGGCTTGCAAGAAACTCTGTAAGGGCATAACAATGCAATATAAGAGTAGGACTGAGGATAAAAAAAGTGCCATGAAGATATTCAGAGGGATGGAGCAACTCTCCTAAGGAGACAGGCTGAGAGACTTGAAATTGTTCAGCCTGGACAAGAGAATGCTTCAGGGCGATCTTATTGCAGACTTCCAGTACCTTAACGGGGCTTATTAGAAGGGAGAGGGATTTTTTATATGGACAAATAACGACAGGGCAAGGGGCAATGGTTTTAAACTGGAAGACTGAAGGTTTAGATTAGATGTTAGGAAGAAATTCTTCACTCAGAGGATAATGAGGCACTGGAACAGATGCCCCATCCATGGAAGTGTTAAAGGTCAGGTTGGATGGGGCCTTGAGCAACTTGATCTAGTGGGTGGCATCCCTGTCCATAGCAGAGGGGTTGAAATAAGATGATCTTTAAGGTCCCTTCCTACCCCAACCATTCTGTGATTCTAAGAAAACAAAGCTTTTAATGTGTCCAGTCTTTGTCATAATGTTGTGTGGAATGCCATAAAGCTTTCATGAGAAAAGAAAAGTGAACCAATTTCTTTCTAAAAGGGTCAGAAATTCAGAACCTGTCTGCTTCAGTCAAGAAAGAATCCAGACAATATATGACTCCATCTCTGGACATAGCTATGCTTTTTGTCCTTGAAAACAGAAACAACATGACGTATGGGAAAGAAAAAGGTGACGTAATTGAGTAGAGGTCAACCAACATTTTACTCCATAAAGTATGTGAACAAATGCAAAAGGTGGAGTAGAGTAAAAGGAATTTCAGTAAAAAAGTCATAAAATTCTTAGAGTCTACCATCATGTTACTGGCATTGTAAGCAAAATTGGCACAGTTGGTGGGAGTTTTTTTATTTTATTTTTTAACCTTAACTATTTCAACACTCAGCTTTACACCACAGGAACACAAACATTTCTGTCAACTAAATTATTTAGCTGACAGGATACTGAACTGCAGTTTGAAGTTAAGAATTCATGGCTAATGTTGAAAAAGATGGTGAAAAGTTTTAAAACAAATTTTACTGACAAAAATACCTCATATTGTATTAGCTCCTTTCTTAGAAATGATCTGCTTGATTTTTTATTGTGTACAGATTCCAAGCTTAAATTGACCACTTGCATTTATTGTGTCAGGGCCCACTTGTGCATTACAGCATTCTTACAAACCTGTTAACACTTTATAGTTCCTAGCTCTTTGTTCCTTTTCTAAACAAAAAGCTTTTCAGTTCTTCTTTATTTATTTGCACAGTTTTGTGCTGATGCACTCAAGGTCAAATTTTAATCTCTTTTAAATCCAAAGAAAATCCAAAGTAAGTCCTTTGACTTTATTCTAATTACTCTAGGTCTGTGAAAGGTGATCAGAAACAAGGCAGTGGCTGTAATTTAACAGTTCCTGATTTACACCAAAGTGAGATTTTCTCCTCAGTTTCAGTTCAGTAATGGAAAATACCTGTGATCACATAGGAGATCCCCTTCTGTGCAAAACTAGGCTCTTCCATTCTTCAGTGCACTGGAACAAAGACTAAAACTTTTATCTTTCAAAGCAACAAGTATCAGCATCATTATGAGCAGATCACAACAACACAGGTTGAATCTCTGTTTGACTAACATAAATGCTGCTGCAGAGACAGAAATTATGATACTGAAGAATTTATATCACAACAGCCATAAACAGCAAAGGTCAATGTTGTTCAGTAAAACAACACTCTCATGAGGTCGAGGATATGAGCTACCCTGAATGAAAAACAGGTTAAAAGCAGTTTACACTTTGCCCTTGGAAGCAATTATTTAAATAGGATTTGTTGAATCATGGCCCTAACTGCGGAACAGTGCTGACTTCATTGGAAATGTCATGGATACAACAGAACAGAAAATCAGCCTAATTTAAAAGCATCAGGTAAGATCAGAAATGGAATAGCTAACTGCAAATTAAATAGTTTTCAGTTCAGTTTTGGTGTGACACCTTGAATGCTACTTCCTAAGACTAAGAGATAGCTGAAAACTTAGAATTTCTTTTTCTTTATGAACAGATTCTACAGCTGAAACTAGTTTATTCATGGCAACTTCAAATGAAGATCAGTGCCTTCTATGTTTTGCACAAAAGAACATTACAAAATATTGTACAACTCTACATCACTTTCATTATTCATGAATTAACTAATGACAAATGGTATCAAGCCAAGCCATGTCATAGCATTCCTTTATCTGTCACAATTATGTATTGTTCCTGCTATACTGTCATGAAATAATGGAATAAAACATCAAACATTTCAAAATGTAATTTCATTTTAATAGGACATTTTACTTTTTTTTTTTTCTGAAATGAGAGATTTTCATCTGGAAATCTTTCTTCAGTATTTTCACAGTGATCCATACAGCTAATGTAGAAAGGTTTCTGAAAATGAAGTTTGCCAATGGAAAACTTCTAATTGAAAAAGTTTCAGCCTACAGCCAACATTCCTCACCCAGCTCGAACCTCAACCTCTGGGTAAATTTATGCTGCAGACTGAGAAAGTGCTATCAAGTTGCAAAGAGTCATTACTAGAGAACTAGAAAGACTATTCACCATAGACCACATTGAAACTCTACAAAAGTAATTTTAAGGAAAAAAAAGTAGATCGTGACACGGTCTAAATTAGATAATCACAAACTTTCATTTACTCTAGTCCCCTAGGTCAAATTCCATGGATCTTGTAGCTACCTCACTCCAGAGGGATTACAGTAATAACACTGCTTGAGAAAATATGTAAGATCTAACCCTGAAAAGTTTTCTGTGAATTTGCCAATGGTAGAAAAAAATACATGAACATAAGCTAGAAGAACATTACTAACTTTAAAGACCTGCAAGGATATGGTCTTAAAATTCTCATATTTTCCCTCCTATTTTAAAGTAGGTGCATCTATCTGACCTGAACTTCTCTAAAATGTGAAAACCTTATTAAAGAATATAATCATACCCAGGGAAAATGGGATAAAGTATATAATTCAATTGGACTTAGATGGAGAAACATAGCCTCATTTAGGTTGGAAGAGACCTTTAGGATCATTGAATCCAACCATAAACCTAACATTGCCAAGTCCACCACTAAACGATAAAGTCATGGAATTGTTAAGACTGGAAAGGACTTCTAAGATCACCAATTATTAACCTGTCATTTTCACAATTAAACCATATTCCCAAGTGCAATATCCACATGTTTTTTAAACACTTCTAGGGTTGTTGATCACTTCCCTGGACAGTCTGTTCCAATGCCAGATCACTCTTTTTGTGGAGAAATGTTTCCTAAAATCTCATCAAAACCTCCCCTGAGGCAACTTGAGATTGTTTCTTCCTATCCTGTTGCTTGTAATCAGTGAGAAGAGATCAACTTTCACCTTGCTTCAGCTTTCTTTCAGGTAGTTGAAGAGTCTGAGAAGGTCTCCCCTGAGCCTTCTTTTTTCCAGACAAACACCCCCAGCTCCCTCAGCTGCTCCTCATCAGACTTGTGCTCCAGACCCTTCACCAGCTCTGTTGCCCATCTCCAGACATGCTCCAGCACCTCAGTATCTGTCTTGTAGTGAGGAGCCCAAAACTGAACACAAGTGCAGGCAGGCTCACCAATGCTGAGTACAAGGGAACGATGACTGCCCTGGTCCTGTGGGCCACACTGTTGCTGATAGAGGCCAGGATGCCACTGGCCTTCTTGGCCACCTAGGCACACTGCTGCCTCACCTTCAGCTGCTGTTGACCAGCATCCCACATTCCTTTTTCATTGGGCAGCTTTCCAACCACTCTTCCCCAAGCCTGTAGCACTCATGTTGTGAACCAGCACTTCACCTGGTTGCACCTCATACAATTGTCCTCAGTCCGTCAGTGCAGCCTGTCCAGGTCTTTCCACAGAGCCTTCCTTGATCCAGAGAAGGCCAGTGAAGCTGGTGAAGGCCTGTAGACAGGTGCTATGAGGATCAGCTGAGAGAGCTGGATGTGTTTAAAGGCTCAGGGGTGACCTTATCACTCTCTACATCTGAAAGAAGGTGGTAATTGGGTGTGGGTCAGCCTTTTCTCCCAGAAAACTAGTGACAGGATAAGAAGACATAGTCTTAAGCTGCATCAGGGAACGTTTAGGTTGGACATTAGGAGGATTTTCTTCACAGAAGGGTGATTAAACATTGGAATGGGCTGCCAAGGGAGGTGGTGGAGTCACCGTCCCTGAAGGTGTTTAAGGAAAGACTGGACATGGCACTTAGTGCCATGGTCTAGTTGACATGGTGGTGTTAGGTCATAGGTTGGACTTGACAGCCTCAGAGATCTTTTCCAACCTAACTGAGATTCTGTGTTTCTGTGATTCCTTCCCTCCAGCAGATCAACATTCCTGTCCAACTTGGTGTTGTCTGCAAACTGATTGAGGGTGCATCCAATCCCCTCAACGTGCAACATACAAAGCAGAATTTGACCTTTAAAGTACCAGCTGTCCTTATCACTGGCCTAGAAATTCATACAAAACTACATTTTATTTTGTAAGAAAAAGAGTTTTGCAGTTAAGAAAACCACTTGCAAAACTGTTATGAATATCTAATTGATATTAGGCATATGACAGACGTTAAGTAGTTCCCTAGGATAATCAAAGGAGATAGGATTTTTTAAATGGTTCTTCCATTTCTGTAGCACTGAATGGTGTCCATGCTCTCCAAGCTCTGTATAACTGCTGCTAAGCACAGTTACAGTGCTTCAGTCAGTGGGTAATGAGCAATTGAGGAAAACACTACCTGCTTTCAATCCATAAAGCTTTGCACTTGACTGTATATGGAGTTCTGTGGTCTCTACTAGTAGATGGCAAAATCTACAGTTAATAAAATTAAATACTCTATTAAAAGACATACACTTGACCTAATTGCATGTTCTATGAGAACCACCTATAAACCAACCTAAAAACTGTCAGGTGGCCTTAATTTTGAGTGGCATCATTATCTTCTCCTATAGTAAAGTTTGGTCTAAATTCCCACTTAATTTAATTCAGTCTGACCCTGTGAATCTACTTCAAATCCACTGAATCACCGTTGCTGATTAACAGTGTTATGAACAGGAGCAGAATTAGGTTTATGAACCCTTAAAACTGTGATTTTTCTCTTGTTGAAATTACTGGAGAAAGTTCATTTCAGTGATGTATGCCCTGATAGCTATTTCTAATGCTCCATAATAGAACAAGGGTTTAGAGTATCTCTGAATGTTACAGTTTCCTATACTGGCCAGATGATTTAACAGCTCACTGCGGTCTCCTCCATCCATTAATCAGTCACTCTACTTCCTTTTTATTTATTTTTTTTTTTTTTTGGTTCTGTCACTAGTCTTCATCATATCCTTACATGAGATACTGTATCTTAGTAGCCTGGAAAAAAAACCTGACATCCCACACTCCAGGGTAGTTGACTGCCAGAATAGTGAGGAAGGACTGATAAGGTGCAGTTTATGCATGGCAGAGGAAGGCACAGCATGAGGCAAGACAGGTAGAGAAAGTAGAGTTCCTCTGTCTAGAGACAGGGAGCTCTTGTTTCAGCTCACCTGCTTTTCTATCTGTAGTCTCACATCTTCTATAAAGGTGATTTTATTGCAGCTACCTCAGCAAAGTTTCCTGTATTCTGAAAAAATTATAAAGTTTTCACGTATGCATTTTAGATGACTCCACCTCTTTTCATAGTATGTCATCCTGCATAGCTGACTGTACTGAAGTCTTTTAAAAAGTCAGAGAGCAAAGAATAAGATTCAAGTTAATAAAATGCAGTGACACCACACTGACACCTTATTTCTGCTATCTTTACAATTTATATAGAGTTTTTGTAACAAGAGATCAGATATTAGAACTTCTCATGTGCAGAGTTAAATGTGACATCACCTTTGACATGACTCGATGCACGCCAGTTATATCTGGGAGCCATAGAGTGGGATTGCTAAAAGCTGTCCCAGTTACAAAGATTATGACTATTAAAATAAATGGCTTGTGTGCAGATGTTCCATGAAAAGCTATCCAGAGCCAAAAAGAGTATTCTGTGGTTTTTTATGAATTATTAGATCGTTTGCAATGCATTAGGAAATTTAGGAAGAATCCCAAGTTTGATATAAAACATCTAGCCTTCTGCCTAGACCCTGACTAAAGTTTACCTTCCCTTAAACATACTTCTAATGTATTGGAATATAAGTGGAACAATTGTTTCAGAATGATATACAGAGATATCATATTCTGTTAATATTACCAGAAATTTCCTAGTATTGTTAAATTGACTGGTCCCAATGACCATGTGCTACCAACATCAGAGCTGAGGTATGGACAGGCTACCAAGATAAAAACTAATGGAGAGACTCATCCTCTAGTATTTTGTTTCAGAAGTCTGGGTCTTCTCGAAAGCCATCTTTTAAGTTCCTCCAAAATAACAGCAATCCCAGACTTCTGTCCTCTAAGTCTGACTATGAAAGATTATTGATTACTTACCAAATCCTCCTGTAAAGATTAGAGCTTATAGTGTGTTGGGTCCTATCAATAAAAGAACATGGTCATGGAGACAAACATTAATAAATGATTGAGTAAATGGTGGGATAAAATAGCCTGTTTTATCTTAGCAACCTGTAAGTATAAAGATCCAAAATGAAAATAAAATAAATAAATTTTCTCAACATAAATAAATGTATGCACCTAAATGTCTATACAGATTATGTTGCCTTTTAACATCCAGACAAAATGGACAAAGAAATTTAAAAATAGAAATCAATTTAGCACTACATTTGCTGACATGCTGCATTAGCTACATGGCAGGAGTTTTAATTTAGCTTATTCTAATTTCATCTTTGCTTATGCCTTTGATATATATTAGCACTCCTTTACATGTTTTCCTAAGCTCTTGTCTAAAAAGCTGAATGTAAATGAAGGGAAAGTATGTACTTTGATCTTCACTGTTACTGGAAAAAGAATTATACACATTGTCCTATCAGCATATGATTTCCTCTTGAATCTACAGGCTTTGCTGATCCACAGACTGCAATATCAAACCCATCGCAAAGTGGTTTGCATAATGCACTTCACATCTACATGAATGGCTCCATGTCCCAAGTACAAGGCTCTGCAAACGATCCTATCTTTGTAATACACCACGCATTTGTTGACAGGTAGGTTTAATTCTTCTTAGCAAACCTAATTAATTTTGTGGGTTTTTTTTACAGTGTGCTTTTCACCTGCATTTTAATACTGCAAACATGTTACATGCCTTTACGTGCACAACATTTTCAGACATGTAGTATTGGGCTCTGCTATTGTTTGAAAGCACATGTCTTTTCTAACCTGACTGTATGTTCACTGGATTAAATATAACTTGACAAGTTGACAAATGCAGTTAGCTTTTATTAACAAGGTAAAAATAATTCTTCAGTGATGTCATAATGATTAATATATATGGATGCGTGTGTCAGGAAGTTTGGATCAAAAGTTAGTGACTCATTTTAACACAGCTATAATCAGTTGGAGCAATTCCTTTACATTCTAAATTTCAGGGTTGTTTTAATTTCTATTCCATAAGGAAAATCCAAGCCTGCTGTTCATAAATAAAGAAGAAAAAATCCGTATTTCAGTGTGACAAACAAAACTGTCACTGTCTTTTGATGAAAGAGAAGAGTACAGCTGTGCAGAATGAAAGAAAGAAAACAGAAGGATATCATGTTTATTAATAGGAAAGTAGGGGAGCGCAGTGTTACAAGAAAACAGTGAAATTGCTACATTAAGGGCAGCATTCAAGATTTAATGGTGATCTTAAAAATTTCTGTGTCACTATAATACATGTGAATGGCTTCAAAAAATTTAAACTAGACTGCATTTAAACCAAACTGATGAATAAAGAGCAATTAAAAAAAAAAAAAAAAGACAGTAAAAGCCACACAAACAACACTTGTTCTGGAGCAGTTTATATTTTAGCATCAATCTTCCACTTTCTCCCCCCTACACTGAGTGTGATTTGACTACAGCAATGCTTAGGACAATAAAAACTATTCCCTGTACAAACTTTTGGGAGTCTTCCACAAATCTGTATGGTCAGAAATCTACCGACTGAGACTCTGCCTGTGTGCAGGTGCTTACTGAGATGGAAACCAAAATGATTTCTTCATTTGGGTCGCTGAGGCATACAACACAGAAGGGACACACATTACAACTTGCAGACACCATCTTGCACTGAAGTTCCTTAGTCAGATTTTTCTCTACATATATATTTAATATTTAAAATGAGGGGGGCAAATAATATAATTTATATCTCTATATAATAAGATATATACCATAATATATATTTATATAATAATATAAATGTATAACACATACATTAGATAATTAATGAGCCTAATCGTTTCATTCTTCACACTTTAAACATCCAGAAATAGGGCATCAAGTCTTAGCAGGTCACCCAGGCATCAGTGGAATGGTCCCTTAAATGGGTGACCTGCCTGTTCTCTGCTCCTAATAAGGTAGGGCACAATTAGTCTTCTGCAGGTGTAAGTTTTGAAACTCTTTTAAGTGAAAAGCTTTTTCTCCAAACATTTTAAAAGTTTAACAATGTAGCTTAGCTGTGATATAGCATATCCATGCATTGACTGCTCAGTAGGATGGATGCATGAGGGTTTCAAGTGTGGTTACAAATCTTACTTCGGTGGTTGGAAATTAACTTTCCAACATCTAGGCTATTAAAAAGGGAATAAATTGAATACTTAATGAAAAGGTACACAGAAGAGAAAGAATTATGATGTGCTATATCAAAAGAATTGTTTTCCTTAGAAACTTACACTTGTATAAGACCTATACATCTCTTAGTTCCCACTCTTTGCAGGGCTTAAGTTAATACCTTGGTCCTCACGCTGACCCCTCAGCATGAAATTTGACAGAGGAATTTCAGTTGTAGTCATTATGAGTCTCTGGAAATATTCCTCATAACTGTAGTTGTTATCAATTTTAAAAGGCAAAATTATTTGCAAATGACAACCTCATTAAATCGTATTAGAGCTGAGGAAATAAATCACTGCAAAGTCACTGTGGGGGCAATACAGATATGCATGATGTGGTTTTATCCCATCTGTGGCAGAAAGAACATTACCAGTGTTGTGCAGCTGCTGTCTATATGGGCTTTAGTACACACAGATGTGAAAACTCAGAATAATGTAGCCTTTTGTGTAAGTGACATAAATGCATTAGTATGATTCCGGTTACTTCAGTTACTTAGCAGACTTATCCATGACAGATTAATCATGCTTTTAGTTATAATTAATAAGTAGGTGACTGATAGGTACATACAGTACATTTTAAAAAACGCTGTTCCTCTCCTACATAGACTTTAAATCAGAAGGGCTGAAAAGAAGTTGTTTTAAGAGTCAAACAAGAACACAAAGAATAGTGGAAATGGGAGAAACAGTTTCCAGAGCAGCAGAAGCACGTTTTAGCAACTTTTCTCATTTGGGCAGAATACTTTTGAGCTGATTGCTATCACTACATTGGGCCAATGGGCTTTTAACTGACTTTTAAATTATATCTTCTGACAAGGACAGCATCTTTTCCCACATTCCTTGGTGAGAACATGGAAAGTTACAAGATGGAGTTTTTCTGGTAAAGTATGTAAAAAGACTGGACACCAACAACCACAGTTCTGCTGGGGTTGCAGATGCGGGGAAGAACAGCTCTGTGTCAAGAAATAAAGAATGGTCCAGGACTTTAGCATCCATGTAGGATCCAAAAAAGGAATTTCTTCACTCCAATTAAAAGTCCTTGGGTGAAAGTGAGCATGCAAATTGCTGCCCCATACTTTCATCCCCTGGAGATATGTTTCCTTCCCATTGATTTCAATGAGACTTTTGAGGAGCTGGGGATCTGAGCTTCAGTTAACTCATCTGTACAGTGGGTGATATTAGAAGCCTACGCAGAAGGGATGCTGTCAGGGTAAATGCATTAATGACTGTGAAATGCTCAGTTACAACCATAATAGGAGTGATAGAACTAAGGCAATAGATCATAGGAACTGATTTTGCATTGAAACATATGGTACAGAGGAGGATAAACAAGTGTATACGGAGTCTGCTGACAGGTGTGAGCCAAATGTTAGGAACTGCTCTCCAAACTGAGCAACAGTCAGCCTACCATCTGCTGTCCTTCAGCCTTTCCTGCCTGGGCCTGAGCACAAAAGGTGGGAATGATGGACAAAGCAGAGGTGAAGTTGAGATCGCTCAGGTGAAAAGAAAAGCATCAGCTTACAGACACTTCCCCTTTTTTTAGGTCATTCCCTCTCAGCAGTGCAGAAGTATGAAAGCACACAGACAACAGCTTTCTTAGCAATGATTAATCAGGCTCCTTGACTTATTATTTGATAGCTAGAAGACCTAGGGATCAAATCTCTGTGCTTGGTAAAAGTAGCTGACCACCCTGAAAATTATTAATTTTTAATTGAATGGCTTAAAAAAAAAAAAAGTGCAACAAAATATACATTCAGCAAAAACAAGGTCTTTTTTAGCATTCTGAAGCATTTCTCTTAATTGCAAATCTCTTTACTATTCAGATATGCTTTACAGTCAGCACAAGGGAATAACAAGGGAGGAGTCAACCCACTCAAGCTGGAAGGAGCAGCTGCACAGGCAGTGAAAGCAAGGGCCCACAGTCCCACTTGAGCTCACTGGGGTGTTTTCTGTGCTCTGAAAAGGAGCTCTTTCCTCTGTGCTAAATCTTTCAGACCCTCTGTCTACAGCCACATACAATCTCCATCTGTTCTCCCTGCACTTTTGTCCTTTGAATGTTTCTTTCCTCTTTCTTTTCATTAGTTTCGGACTCTTCTTGAATTCCACACACCATCCCAAAAATTCCCCTCAGAAAAGCTGAATAAACTTTATAGCTGTATGTCAGCTAATGCAATAGGGCCTCGGTTCTCATCTCGTTTCTAAGTTCTGCAGCATCAGGCAGGGTTCATTACAATAATGTGGACGAATTCCAAAGGTCCTGGTTTCAGAGCAAACCATTTAGCACTAATTTTCTGCAGAAACCCAATAGCATGTAGGATTTCATTCTCTTTCTTCTCCAAAGTCTAGTATTTGTTAGACTATTTGCATGTTGGTAGTACAGCTAGACACAGATGGTCAGTACTAGTGATGCCACCATTACAAGACCTGTTTTCTCCAGCTTTCATGAGTAATTGCACAGCTCAGAAAACTGCTGCAATCATAATTGCTTTAACTTAATACTCTGCCTGGGTGTTCTTCTCTGTCCATACCCTTCTACTGCTTCTTTGTTCTCTTCACATCAGATCAACTGGTCTCTAGTGTGAAAGTCCTTCACTGCTCATCCCCAAATAATTTCTTCTTCATTGTAAGAAACATTTTGGAGGAAACCCTCCAAAATGTTCATTATACCAATCTCTATTGTAAATCTGTTTGGTATTCAGACAAGTCACTCCATGCTCCTCCTGGTTGGGCATTGTTCACCCTGTGCATCCACATATTCAGTCACTGTTCTTCCTTTCAACACAACACTGAGAAAAAGGTCAGACACTAGTGAGCTGAAACATTCACTTTGTAGGTGGACTACTGCAGTCCCACTACATGGGTGCCTAGTCCTCCTCCTATCTGTTTGCATCTATCTCTTGTCCCTTGTCCTGTGTTTATGTCATATGCTCTGTCATTAAGGGACTGTCCCACTGTGCTGGTCTGTGTGGCACGTGGCATATTCTTTGCCTCTGACTATGGTTCTTAGGCGTCAAAGCAACATGAGCAACAGGAGATGGCAATTGCTTTATTTACAATTGTATGAAGTGGCAATGACAGGGCACAGCTGTACACCCATACTCTGATCTTGTTGCTTCAGTTACTGCTTTGGTTGCTATCACACAGGACTGATTTATCGCATCAAAGAAACAAAACCTTCAGGGGTGGGAGGCGTGCATGTGTATTTGTGTGCGTTTACATGCACTCTGTTGAAAGTAATGCAAGCCAATGATAAGGTCACACAGGGAATGGAGACACTCATTTACAGCTACTGACATACATGCACACTTCCAAGTAGGTGCAGAAGAAACTCTCCTACGCATCAGCTTCAGAGCCCAGTGATAAAGTCAGAAATTCTGCCTAATCAAGGCAAATATCTCTGTGCTGTGCAGTAACATCATCTGCCATAGACTCCTATGCAGAATGCTAAAATAACCCCTATTGTTTCCCTGGCAGGTTGGAGCTGGGAGTTTAGGAGATGTCAGACTCTGGATTATCTGGGAATCTAACAATAAAATGCTCACATTGCTTATAAGTAAACTCAGCTAAATTGAAAACCATGTATAGAGAAATCTGTTCAAAAATAAATTAGAACCCAAAATCTGCACATTCTGATTTGCATATCAGGAACACTCCATTCCCTAAGCCAACTTTATGGACCTTTTTAGTCCCTGTGGATTCAATATACTCACCACTCAATATATTCAGGCCAGTCCCTTCTTCCACTAAAAAAAAAAAAAAAGATTCTGGCAAAAGTGATTTTGTTGGAAAAATCACTTTAAAAAGAGGAAATTTTATTTTTTCACATCCATGAAATGTCAAAATAAAAGCTCCTTATTTTTACTCTGTTTTTGAAACAGATCATTTTCATTCTCTCTTAAATGTCATTTCAGGGTTTTTAAACCAAAAAATGGCATGAGAAAAAAACAAGTTGTTCTATTGTTTTGAAATGTTGACAGGAAACAGGAATTTATTCTAACAGTTAAAAACTATTTGCTTCAAGAATTTGGAACATTAGGAGATAAGGCATTCAAAAACAATCATCAAAAATTCTTGTGAGAAAACACTATGTTTCCAGACTTGTTTAATATATAAAATAAGAATAATTCCTTATCCTGAACTGTCTCCTGTGGAAGACAACACAGATAAAGCACGAAGCCAAGGAATTCTTTTCGTCATTTGGTATACAAAAACGAGAGACACCAAAACATGTAACTGAGGTGCTGAGATGGAGATTGTAATATAATGATAGATCAGCAAATAATAAAGCAGTGTAAAAATGGGGGAATCACTGCATAAACACTAAATGTATGATTAATTTTATTCCTTGATATGGACAAGGCTCACCATTTTTTGAGGTATGTTTGAAAAAAAAAATGATGAAATGGCCTAAAAGTCATCTTTTTTTTCTGGAGCTGAATGAACAGTGACATGGAGCCACTAGAAATCTGTTGGACAAAGAAAGGTCAAGAGATTGCCATTAGCAAATATACATCCTCCCACAATAACAGTAAATCCACAGGGTTTCTGCATCATGCCAGCTCAGGATCTTACAGACTATGCCCAGCCCTGTATGCTCTCAAGTGCCTGGGTAAAGGCAGTAGATGAGATGAAGTCACCTTCATAATTGTCCCTGGTATGAAGGTGAAACTCAGTCAAAGTCATCCCAGTCGGTGAAACCATGAGCATCGCTGAGCTACTACTATGCCAGAGGGTGAGAAAGTAGAGCTTTTAAGAGCAAAGCCCCTGGGATTTTCTCCTGAACTAGAGGTGGTTTTGCAACATTTCCAGGACAGATCTGAGATGGTGGTATGTAGCAGGACATATACAGGACAGCAGGAATGCTTCCAAATACTACTGTACCTCCTAAAAGCTTTTACATTTTGCTAATATATCATTTGGTATTTTCCAGCTGAGTGAAATACTGTGGAGCTGGTGGGAGCTACAGTCATTTCTTACTCAGGATATATATCCATAAAATTTAGGTTGACTTTTGGAATTAAATATCTAGATTATAAAGTGCTACTGCACAGGAAAAAAAAAAAAAAGAGCCATATTCAAGGTATGACATGGCAGATATGGGAGCAGTTGGGTGATATCAGTCTGTACTGTATGCATATGTCAAATGCATGTAAGACAGATAAAGAGGGGATAAAAAACACTTCAGAAACAGAGAGGGAAGGCAGTAGGAAGTCAAGGACGGAAGTGTGATAATTGTGGAGCAGTTGCAAAATACCCAAAGAAGTCCCCATAAGCAATTTTGTCTACAGGTCTATGAATAGGCAGGAACACTGTGCAGGAGTTTACCTAGGCCCTCCAGCCCCAGAGAGCTGCCTCGTCTTCTGGCACCTGCAAGAAAGAGGGCAGCAGCATTGGAGCTGATGACCTGCTTACACCTTAAGTACCTGTTAACATGCAGGTCTGCATCAGAGTTACAGCTGGTGGAGCTGCTGATTTATCTCTCTAAAGAAACATTGTCTAAGCTACGCTCTTCTTGAGCTACAATGCCGACATCTCCTACTGAGCCTCGCTTACAGTTAGTAAGACTACAGTCAAGTAGTTCAGAGACTCATAGTATCATAGAATGGTTTGGGTTGGAAGGGACCTTAAAGATCACCTCGTTCCAGCCCCCTTCCATGGGCAGGGATACCTCCCACTGCTGACTAGCGGCCAGCTAAGATATAAACCTCTTACTGAGGAACCTTTTTGTCTTTTGATTCTCTGGGTTCACTCAAAATACTTCTTTCTATCCCTGAGCAATATCTAGTATAGAGTGTTTGTTTAAACTCAAGTTCAGAAGTTGCTATAATACAAATGCCCATAACACGTATAATGCTTAAGCCATATGAGGGGGGTTACCCATTACTTGTATATGTAATAAAACTGAGCCTGGGAAAGTTATCTCCCTACCTCCAGAGCTCTTTGGGGAATTAATGACATTTTTGCAATGTATCCTGGGTGGAAATTGCCTTTTCTCCCTGCCTCTTGCATATTACATGGCTCCTCCTGGGAATGGAGGTCTGATCAGCATGCACATCTACATCCCACCAGCAGGATCTGTGACACAGTAGCAAGGTAGCCCAGCTCTCACCCTTCCCTAATGATTAACAAAATCACCTCATTATAGCAGCTGCTGTGCTGGAAGCCACCAGGTCACAGAAAGCAGCTCTTCTATCAAGAGAAGCATCAGAGGAATAAAACTGCTCTCCATCAGTGTTTCATATGAGGGTGGGCCAGGAATGACTTTGGTCACAAGCTTTATTGGCACACATAAACTCCTACAAGTATGAGATACAGAGCAGATAAGTACTGAAGGAGTGGGAAACTTGAGAATGTCAGTTTTTATAAAGAAAATTTCTATATTTTTTAATTTTGTTTCCCCCTGGGGATGTCTACAAATGTGCAGGAGGATACACACTCCCTCTGTCACCCCAAGGTCTCTGTTGGCACTGAACTGGAGCTGCTAACCTATCTCTCCCAACCTCCCAAGCTTTGCAGCATGTTAACCAGAGCTACTCAGCTCGTTTGATGGAGCTGACTCACTCAAAGTGGGCTCAGTATGTGGGCAGAGTGAGTTCACATCTACTGCAAAATACCACATAAATATATCCATGGAAAGCGGAGTGTAAGTGGGAAGGTTGGGGTGTTGCTGAGAAACACATCTCCTTAGTATCTCTCTCTCTCCTTTGATATCCCTATGTCTGGGGCTGAAAGGAAAATCATACACCAAGATACTGAGCTGCACTCTAACATCTATTTCAGCAAGCCTGGACAGTTCCTGCTACTGCAATTGCAGAGCACCAAAATGGATACAGACCTTGAAGGTTCACAACACAGACCATCTAACTTATACTATGGCTAGAGTGGTGGCCAGAAACAAAAGCAAAGGAGTACAGGTTTAGAGCATCTCTCCTCCAGTGGACAGAGAGGTGCTGAACCTATATAGTACACTTGAGGCTGTACCTGCATCTAAAGTAACCTACATTCAT